CACGAAATAATCTAATTCAGTTATAAATATTTTTTATTTTTTATATTTTCAGTATGAATAATTTTTTTTTGTTAATATTATGATTTAAACTAATTATTTTAAGTTTTCTTAATACGCTAATGCAAGATTAAACTAAACAATCTAATTAAGTTATATATATATATATATTTAGTGTGATGCGTAGATCTTTAATCACACTAAATAATCTAATTCGGTTCTATGTATTTTTTATTTTTTATATGTTCAATCTGAATAATTTATTTTTATCAATATTAAGACTACTTAGATTAATTATTTTAAGTTCATTTGATGTTTAAATGTAGGACCAAACTAAACAATTTAATTAAGTTATATTTATATATATTTTATTTTTTTAATCTGAATAATTTATTATGATCAAAATTATAATTTAAACTAATTTTTTTAAGTTTTATTAATGTGTAGATGTAGAATTAAATTAAATAATCTAATTCCTTCATATTTATATATTTTATTTTTTATATTTTTAATATGAATATTTTATTTTGGTAAAGACTAGAATTTAGACTACTTTTTGGTTTTTTGATGCGCAGATTTTGGACCAAACTAAATAATCCAATCCAGTTAGATTTGTATGGGGTGAAAACCAGAAAATGCACAACCCTAAAAAGGGATGAAATTATAATTTGTTTACAAAAATATTGTTTTATTATTTCTTTAAATAAAAATTAAAAGTAAGATTAAGATTCCTTTAGATATGACTATGAAGCAAGAGCTTTTTTTTTTTTTAAATTTAATTTTTTAAACGAAAATGACAACACCAATAATAATAATAATAATAACTAACAGAATAATCAATAATAATATTCGTAGTGCATATTATTCTGTAACGGAATAAGTAACACCTGCAGAGTAAGAAACCAATTGACAAATGGCTTGAGGATTAGTTTATTGTGTTGGGTATGAGTTATGACACCATCACCACCAATTAGCTTCGTCACGCACTCATTTGACTTTTCATGGTTAACCCACAACCACCAGTTCCGCCCAATCCTTGCTTGCTTCTGATTCGGTCACTGTTCCAACCCTGATCACGCTTCATTGTTTTATACAATTATCCCTTCCTTTCTGTCTATCTGTTCCTCACTTTTCCCAATGCAACATTTCCGTAACGGCATCATTACACGACGCCGTTTCCTCTTTTAATTTTACCACAACGACGTCGTTTCACTCCCTTCTCTTGTTTCTATCACCGCTTCGGCTTCCTTGCCATTTTCGCTATAAATACACCTCAGGACGTATTCCAGTCACATCTAAAACCCTCATCATCTCCATTTCCTCTTCGTCTCTGCTCTCGACGGGGATTTCTAAACCATCCTTTTAGATCTTCTTCTTCGTTCGTTTCTCCATCAATGGCAAAGGAACCAGTTCGCGTGCTCGTCACTGGAGCTGCAGGTACTGTAACCTTGAACTAATAGCAGAACTAACTGTTACATTTATGTTTGTGTCAGATCTGTGACACAGTGTTTAACTTTACATAGTTTACCTCACTCAAGTGCTAGATCTACCTGTTTTTTGTATAAATATCACCTTTTACATCTCGATGCAATTATGTGGTTTGAGTTCGTGTTTTACTGCGCTAAAAATAATTTGCAGCAGTATAACCTTACGATCCACTGAAGAATATGAACCGATCCAGATCCTTCATGTTTGATCTGATTATCACCGTTACTGGAATTTAGACTGCTCGATTGTTGATCGAGTTAAGGTCTGACCTGGAGATTGCTATTATTACTTATGGTTTATGGTTTATTTGGCTGTCTAAGCTTTTTTATCCCCTGCAGTGTGATTTGGTGGCGGTTTTACTCTTGCTCTTGTTCCCTGTATATGAATTAAAAATGTTTGTTAACGCTGCTGATGACAGTAATAACGATTTGGAAACGACTAAGCTTCACGTGGCGGAATCTTATTTATATGTCTAGGAAACAGGAAAAATAAGCACTTTACGCGATGATGAATGAAATTTTATTTAGTTGGCACCTGAATGGACTATCTGTCTATATTGTTAGTTCACCAAGTAGCCTTGCCATATAACAATTGATGCATACGATATAGATTTGCCATGTCTTTCGAGTTATCTCTTTGAAGTGATAAGAGCAAGCTTTAGTTATTTTCCCGTGGAAGAAGCTGGGATTTTGTCAGTTTCGATTTTATATTATTATGATCGGAAAGGACCTGAATCTTAATATTATATGACATACTAACATCTTACCAATGTGGCTCTTTCTCATGTATATACATATATCTTTCAGCTAAGTTTTATTTATTAAAGTTTGCATCTCAAATATTGTTCAGCATCTCATTTTTCTGAAGACATAAAATGAAGAAATAATGTTAGTTTTGCAGGGCAAATCGGATATGCTCTTGTCCCCATGATTGCTAGGGGAGTAATGCTGGGTCCTGACCAACCTGTGATCCTGCACATGCTTGATATCCCACCTGCAGCGGAGTCATTGAATGGAGTGAAAATGGAGCTAGTAGATGCAGCTTTTCCTCTTCTTAAAGTATAACTTCTTTGTTTCATTTTGGCGATCTTATGTTTCTTTGAAGGATTTCTACACATGAAATGTATACACAAGATATCTATGATCTACAAGCGATCTTTTGCCACATGGCTTTTGAACCTGTTCACATTATACTGCCCAGGTGTTGTTGCTACTACTGATGCTGTTGAAGCGTGCACTGGGGTCAGCGTTGCTGTCATGGTTGGTGGGTTCCCAAGAAAAGAAGGCATGGAGAGGAAAGACGTCATGTCTAAAAATGTGTCAATTTACAAGGCTCAGGCTTCTGCTCTCGAAAAGCATGCAGCTGCAAACTGCAAGGTGATTAGCATTGATGCCCGCCAAATGAAATGATTAATATTGCATTTGCTGTATCAAATTCATTGATATATTTATTTTCTGCTTCTATGTTCAATTGTGGGATATTGGAAAAAACTACTTCGTTTTTTCTTGTTTTCTCTTAGAAGAAGAAAAGGATTAATATGATATTCTATATTGTTGAAAAATTATCCTGCAAGTGTTGGATGCTTTTTTGGAAGCAAAGTACCAGTGTATTAGAGGCTGAAATATGTTCGGTGATTAATGTCGAAGGTTTTGAGGGGTTTGTTTGAATTAAAAAAACTTTGGCGTGTACAGAATTAATACAGTTTGATATAACTTGAATTTTATGCGATGATAACATTTATTGTGCAAATTAGATCTGGGAGATTTTTTTCCCCTGTTGTGGACTTGTGTAGGCTTATGGATGGGTCAAGCTTGTGTCAGTTTATAGATGTAAGAGTTCTACCTCATTTTAAGTTCTGCTTTCTTGTTCTTTCAGGTTCTGGTTGTTGCTAACCCGGCAAACACTAATGCATTGATCCTGAAGGAATTTGCACCTTCAATCCCCGAGAAAAACATTACTTGTTTAACTAGATTGGATCATAACAGGGCACTGGGTCAAGTCTCTGAGAGATTAAATGTTCAAGTTTCCGATGTTAAGAATGTGATAATCTGGGGGAATCACTCATCAACTCAGTACCCTGATGTTAACCATGCTAAGGTTAAGACTCCATCTGGGGAAAAGTCTGTTCGTGGACTAGTGAATGATGATGCATGGTATAAAAATCAAAATTAAGATTTCATACTCTTGTGAATTAATTTGTCACGATTTGCTTGGAGCTTTTACATATGTTTTGTTTTTTGCTTTTGTTGAAGGTTGAATGGAGAATTTATCTCTACAGTGCAACAACGAGGTGCTGCAATCATTAAAGCTAGAAAATTTTCCAGTGCATTGTCTGCTGCTAGTTCTGCTTGTGACCATATACGTGATTGGGTCCTTGGAACTCCAGAGGTATGTGGTGCTTTTTCATTAATTTTTAATGATATATTACCTGACGTGGATTTATTGCTTATTTTGAATTTGCATGTAGGTTACAAGGGTTTCCACGAGCTTGTAGTTGATTTCTTAGTTTTTTTTATTTTGCATGTAGGGCACTTGGGTTTCCATGGGCGTGTACTCTGATGGCTCATACAACATTCCAGCTGGACTAATTTATTCCTTTCCAGTAACTTGCCGCAATGGAGAGTGGACCATAGTTCAAGGTAAGAATGCTATATCTGAATTCTATGAGACTCGATTTTCGAAGACACAAAAAGCTTTTTGTAACTTTAGATGCAGTGTCATAGTCTTATGGGATTGGGTATGAGACCGACATAAAAGGAGTGTATGGATGGTTATGATTGCAGTTTTATGTCTGTATTATTTATAGAGTGCTTTTTACTTACTTTTATGTACGGAACAAATGAATTTCAAAAAAATTGTGCAAGCCTTTTACAAATTCACATTTTCATGCTTAAAATGTTCATAAAAATGTTGCAAATAAAAGTCACACTTTTTCCTCCTTATGTTCATTTGTTCAAAATATAGCCACTTACTATAGATTGCTGCTTCTTTTTTGAGTTCATTTGTGGAGATAGTAGCTTAGATCGAGTTTACAACTTGTTTGGAAGTATAACCCTCTTCTTGGAAAGAAAGGTTTTCTTGATTGCTTTCCTTGTTAGTTGGTTAATTAAATTTGTTGTAAAAGCTCGTTTTGTGATTTTTTGAACTAACAATTCTCTTCTTGCTACAGGACTTCAAATTGATGAATTTTCAAGGAAGAAGATGGATTTGACTGCAGAGGAGCTGAGTGAGGAGAAGTCCTTGGCTTACTCATGCCTCTCTTGAATGCTCTCTTATGTTTACTAGCTTGTTCATTAAGTGGGTCTCACACATTTTATTAGAGGTGCTGCACCAGTTTTAAATAAGGCGGCGGTTAAGATCTAGGGTAACTAGAGCTTTTGTTTTTATTGATCTTGTACAATGTTTTAGAAATTTCCACATGTCACGGGGAATTTCATAAGTTGGGAATTTTTGAGGACCTTGATTATCCTTATATTTCCTATGGATTTGACCAGTTTTTTTTTACCACAGATCATGTGGATTTATATATTTGGGAATTTCAAGCACCTTTATTTTCCTTGGCTTACTTAAGCCTCTTTTTGAATGCTCTTACATTTAGCTTGATTGTTAAGTGCGTCTCACACATTTTATTTTCCTATGGATTCTGGTAGTTTTTTGTTGTGTTATCCTTTTCCCTCGAGTGTTTAATTTTCTCGCTTTGGAATATAGGAATGTCGGTGAAGAGTACGTAGTGAATTGATCAGGTTAGAGATAAAAGAAATGTTGTAACGACGGTTGGAGCCAAATGAGATTTTAATTCTGTTCTATTGACAACAAGAGCCGAGGAAGTGTTTTAGATGATGAGCCACTCTAGGCTTTGGCAAACTTTTGATAGTTAAGAAATCATCGGCGGTAATGATTTTAAAATCTTGCAGATGGAATAAGCTCTTCAATAGCACTTCTTTCCCCCTTGTAGATAATAACGGATATGTTGTATAAAATTATAAATATTTACGGACACTCATTATAAAAAGATAATTCGTAAATTTATAAAAAGTTTTTTTTTTTAAAAAAAAGATATAAATTTTAGTAAATATGTAAAAGAAAAATAATTATTTTTGTTAATTTAAAAAATCAGATAATATTTACAAAAAATATAATACCATTCCCTCACTTCTATTAAGTTAAACCATAAGAAAACCTGTTTTTTGATGAGTAAAAATTATTTAAAATTTTAATAATATTTAAGAGAAAATAAAAATCATTAATAATTATTTTCTATAAATGAAAAAACAAGCATTTTATCTTTCGCATTAAAATTAGTACTAAAAAGGATGATGCACTGCGTGGTGTATTAAAAAAAGAAAAATACTGTGTGCGGTATGTGCATGAAGGAAGAAAAAAAATTGGGAGAGAAAGAAAAATGTTGAAGATATACATGTATGTATATGTATATATGTATATTACTAAAAAAAATTTAGAATGAGGATGATGCTATGTGCGTGCCCTAAAAAAAAGAATGCACCGTGAAAGGAGAAGAAAAAAAAGGGAGATAAAAGGAGATTGAGATATATAAATATATATATATATATATATATATATAAATGTATATGGCGTTTCCTGAAAAAATAAAAGAGTTTTTTTTCTTTATTTTATTATTATTATTTTTTCTCCTTTTCTCTCTCATAATGACGATGATGATTTCATTAATTTTGTTTTTTATCTTTAGAAAAAAAGAAATATTAAATATTAAGATCGAAAATTGAACTCAAAACCTCTTATTTCTTAAAAAAGTACTCTATCTAATTGAGCTATGAAATATATACAAATATTTATGTATTTGATCATATTTATTGGTTGATATTATATGTATTTTAATAGTATTCTATATATGCATATTATTTTATTATTTAGACAATATGTTAATATTTTTGTTATGCTATTTTATCATCACTGTACAAATATGTATTAATTAGTTTACATTAGTTAGTTATGCATCTTTTGTTAAGATTGAAATAACTACGTATATTTACATGATATATTTTTTATGCCGATTAGTTTAGCAAAATTAAAGACTTACATGGATATGTTCCATTTAATTTTTATTTTATTATGTTAATTAAATTATCATATTTTAATTTCTATCATATGTGATAATTATAAGCGTAGCAAAATTTTAAAAAATGTGATATAAATAATGAAATTTTTATAATTTAATTATAAAAAAATCGTACCTAATGTCCATTTTTTATATACTTGTAGAAATAATAACCAAGAACATAATTATTGATTTGTCAACAAACAAAAAGTTGGATGAGACAAATTATGATATATGACATAGGAAGATTTAATATCTTCTTAATGAGTGCAAGATTTTAGAAACCTTGATCACTACTGTAGATGAGCAAAAAAATATTGGTTATGACCGATATAGTGAGGATTTGAATGCATACTAGGAATGGTCCAAGAAGGATCGTTCTGTCCCCTATACTATATTGTATTGCATGTATAGCAATCTCATTGGAGAGTTTGAGAGTTGTTCCATGGTTAAGGATATGTGGAACAAACTTAAGGTCACTTATGGCCAGACATCCATTAAAATGCTCTGTACCTTGGATTTAAAGTGGATGAAATATGAAATGGATCCAAAGCACAGTATAACTGAACACTTACATGTCATGAGTGTTATGGTTCATGACCTTAAGGTTGGAGGGCGTGACATAAGAGATCAAAAACAAGTTCTGAGTGTGATTCATTCACTTCCAGATGAACCTGAATGTTGTAAAAATTTTAAACTCCTGATGGTTCATAGTGAACACATTAATACTTTCTCTGAAATTGTTAAACACATTGAGATGGAAGTTGAGCGTCAAAAGACGCTTAATCTTTCCAATGTGGTACTTGTGGCCCATGGGGTCAGACCAAGAGAAACAAACACAATCATGCCAAACAATGTAATAAAGGTTAGAACTCCTTTCAAGCCAATGGACCTAAAGGTGGTGTGGCCAAACAGTATAAGGCTAAGGGTCATAGAGAGAACAATGTAATGCGTATGAAGTGTTATAACAAGAGTCACTTCGCTCGTGATTGATATGAGCCAAAGAAGGTACCTTTCTCTATTTTGCCTCTTGATTTATTTTTTTGTTCCCATGCATTTGTTACTAATTCTTTTCCTAATTGAATTGTAAACACGAGAGTAAGCAAATATATAGTTCAAGATCGAGCTAGATTCGTGGACTACCATCATATCCCGGTGGGTTTGCAAACTGTTGTATTGTACAACGGCAGCGAAGAGGATGTCTTTAGAATCAGAACATACTAGTTCAAGCTATGTGGAGGAAATACTTTACTCCTTTATAATACTCTCTATGCACCCGAGGTGCGATTTTGTTTACTTTCAGTTATTTCTTTATTGAGATTTAACTTCTCTTTTAACTTTAAGGCTAGTACTTTAGACATTTTATATTGTGCCGATGTATTTGGTCATGGGTCTTTAAGAAATAATTTCTTTGTTATTGACTTGGAAGATAATATATATAATAATTCTATAATTGCTTATGTTTCTTACTTTGACTGTGATTCTGAATTTGTTAAGTGGCATGCTAGACTTGGCTATATTGGTCAAGACTGAATGAGTAGACTAACTAAAGAAGGTCTTTTAGACCGGTTTATTAAGGTTAAATTGCCTAAATGAAAGTCATATTTAGCCGGTAAACAAGTAAGAAGCTTTTTAGTAAGACTTTAAGGGTGTTAAGTCCCTTATAATTAATCCATTCTAATATTTGTGGGAATTTAAATATCAAATCACATCATGGTGCCATATACTTTCTCACTTTTATAGATGATTATTCACGATATAGATATGTGTATCTAATTTCTCACCACTATGAAGCGTTATATATGTTCAAACATTTTGTAGCGGAAGTAAAAAATCAAATGGATCGAAAAGTAAAGACTCTTCGAATTGATCATGGTCGTAACTACCTTTATAATATGTTCAAAAAATATTGTGAGAAAAAAAGTGTACGTAAACAACTTACAATTCTCCATACTCCGCAACAAAATGGTGTTGTAGAGCGAATGAATCGTACATTACTAGACATGCTTAGATCAATGATGACACATGCCAACCTCTCTAATAATTTTTAGGGAGATACATTATTTACGATAACCTACATCCTTAACCATGTATTAAGTAAAAGTGTACCTGTCATTCCATATGAGTTATGAAACGACAAAAAATTCATTTTGGATCATTTACATTCTTGGGGATCAACAGACTATGTGCATAACCCAACTCACAAATACGGAAAACTAAGTCTAAGAACAACTAAAATGGTGTTCATCAGATATCCTGAACATTCAAAAGGATATGTAGTCTTTGGAGAACATCCGAATGGTGGCATGGCTGAAATAGGCTCCCGCAATGTTGATTTCTTTAAGGATGAGTTCCCAACCATTGGTGAAATAAAAGAGAATATCGAACTGTATGAGTTACAAAAGGACATGCAACTATCTATTAGTGAGAGAAGGTATTGAGAACCTACAAAGTAACCAAGGATAATGATATTCTATCAAATAAAAGAGAAAATGGGAGTGATCCTACTATTTTAAATGGCAGAAACTTGCATACAAATGATAATCTATCAAAAAATGGGGGTTAGTCCTCAAGATCCGAGTTTGAACATGAACTTAGTTTTCAAGTTCCAAATCTCATGTCAATGGATAGTGAGAGAGATTTATCATCTAGTTAGGGTGGTGATGAAGGTCCTAAAATTTGAAGGAGTAAACGTGGAAAAATTTTCCTATGATATTTTCAAATCGAATGAGAAATTTTGTTATGCACTCCTTTAGAAATAAAGGAACCCACATCCTTTAAGGAGGCTATGAATTCACCAGACAGTAAAGAGTGAATTGATGCCATGAGAGATAAGATAGACTCAATAATGAAAGATAAGGTTTAGGAACTAGTTAATCTTCCACCTTGATATAAATCAATTGAAAACAAGTGGATTTTCAAGATAAAACGTGGAGCAGATGGATTAATTGAAAAGTTTAAGGGTATAGACTATAAAGAGAATTTTTTTCTTATGGTGAGATTTGCCTCTTTTTGCCTCCTTCTAGCCCTAGTTGTCCATTTGAATTTGGAGTTATTTCAATGGATATTAAAACTACTTTCCTCAATGGTGCACTTGAGGAAGAAATATATGTGGATCAACGTATTGGATTTGTCTCAAAAGGTCAAGAAAACAAAGTTTGTCGCCTTAAAAAATTTATATATGGTCTCAAGCAGTCTTCTAGACAGTGGTATTTCAAGTTCTATGAAGTCATTACTTTGTTTGGCTTGTCCATGGTAGATGAAAACTATTGTGTGTATGTCAAGAAAACAACATGAGGGATTATGTTACTCTCTTTATACGTTGATGACATACTATTAGCTAGAAACAACATGGAGATGATCAATGTTACTAAGCAGTGGTTGTCCTTTCGTTTTGAGATAGAGGACTGTAAGGACTAGAAAGTAGAAAGACTAGAAAGAAAAAAAAAATAAAAAATAATAATAATA